ATCGGGGCTGTAATTCTATTGCTAGAGGTCAATAAATATCAGGTTTTCAATTTGCTCTTGTCCCCTGGCCCAAGGTGTGGGTTTTGATGAAATGCAACTTTTAGGATTGATGGGGATGCTGAAAATTAGCAGAAATGATAAATGTTTGCTCAGGAAAAAGAGTTGGAGCTGGAACGCTGGGGAGAAGGGTAACAGCGGGTAAAAATTGTAATGGATGATAAATACGGGGAAGAAGTAGTATCAGTATTAACAATACTTCCCAAACTTAACTTAAAAAGCAAAGAGTTAAGGTGTCAAGACGACAAACTAATTTTCCCTCTGTCTTTTCAGATGAAACTACTCACCACATCTGCTCCTGCCCGTCCCTCGCAGCTTCGCGTCCCCAGTAACCTCACCCTCAGCTGGAGACGTTTCTTCCAGCTCCAGGTGGTCAAGATCGAGGAAGCCCCAGATAAATGACCCTTGTTTTAATAGGTGACATGGGTAGGGACAGCAAAGGCGAGCTCAGCCGTGGGGCTGGGGAGGTGACATTCCTCCCTCTGCCACCGAGATGTGCCCTTGCTCCACTCACTGCTGAATGGCAGCTTGAAGGAGGGGGAAAAAAAAACAAAAAACAAAAAACAAAAAAGAGCCCAAAAATCAAACCTCTGGCAAGTTGTCGGGTTTTGGGTTTTTTGTTTTTTTTTTTTTTTGTTTGTTTGTTTTTTTGTTTGTTTGTTTTTTTTGTTTTTGTGTGTTTGTTTTTTTGTTTTTTGTTTTTTTTTACCGTGCCCTTCCTCTGCCCGCACCAGCTCCCTTTAAAAGGGCCTGGGGGGAAAAAAAGGCAATTTCTTTAGCCGAGAAGCGCTGCAGTCGTGCGGAGAATAAGCGTCGCAGTCGTGCAAGGAATGATGGCTGCAGAAAGAACGCGGGCCAGCTCCCATGTTATTGGAAGATTTAATTCTGCCTGGCTCCCAAGGTCGATGTTAATGGCAGAGCCCCCAGGCCCCCATGGGCAGGGGCTGCCCAGCTGCCTGTACCCCTCCTGCCCGGGTCGGGGGGGTGTCACCCCCTCCCTGGGGCAGGGACGGAGGTGGTTTTATGCAGCAGCATTTCCTTGCCTGCCTGCTTTTTTTTTTTTTTTTTTTTTTTTTTTTTGGCGCTCCGCATCAGCTGTGAGTTATTTTTTAACCCTGCTTGCCCCTGTTACAATTTCCCACGGAGTTTTGCCCACTCTGTCCTCCCTTTTTAGTGCAGTTGCTTTAACCTTTAGCTTTCACCACCTCTCCCTGTATCTCCCTTTCACTGTTTTCTTGCTCTCTGCCTTCAGTTTCCCTTTAATTTCTTTTATCTGGCTACAAAATTTTCTTTTTAATGATCTTCTGTCCCTTATTAACACTTTTGCCTTGTCCAAGCACACTGCAACTGCTGGCATCCAGCTGGGACTGATGCAGTTTGAATCACATCGTGGCTGAGCTCTCCCTGCTTTTATTTTATTCCAGTCCCCTCTCGCCTGTTTCTACCCAGCCGGGGTCTCAGATCTGTTGACGGAGGGGGCTGTAATAGAAACCTTTGGGGTTTTTTTATTTTGCTTGTGTCTGCTTTCTTTGCCAAGCTCTGCCCCAAAGTGATCCCTTTTCAGTCCGGCCATGCACGGATGCTGTTTGCTCTCTGCAGCTGCAGATGTGCCGTATTAGATTTATTCATCTTCTCCTTTTGCCATCTGGCAAACTCCTTCCTAGACATCTTTGTGAGGGAACAGGGCGTTTGCAGGAATTAGGTCACGTTTCGAGCAGAGTTCAACGAGTGCCTCACCATCTCCTTTCCTAATTCCCACTTTGTGCCTCCTCGGGGCTCTTCTCGCTCCCCGTTGCACCCTGCGTGGGGACTAAAGCTGCCCGAGGTGAGGACTAAATTGTGCTGATGGTAGTTTGGAGGCAGCTGCAGGTCTCTGCCTCTTCCCCTGTTGCAAGATACTTTGGATTCGCTGCAAATCTGGGTAGCGTGCGACGGGCAAGCTGACAAACAATGCTGAGATGGGGGGATGCTTTGAAGGGATCCTTCCCTGGGTACCAGGAAGGCTGATGGGACAGAGCTGCTTGCTGTTGTATCCGTAGGAGGTGGCTCATTTAAAAACAGGAGGATGTAGGTATGCAACCATTTTCCAGCAGATATATATTTGCCACCTTGCACAGCACCCACTCATTTAGGCAGGTTTCATATGCACCCGTGCATGGCGGGGGGGGAAGGAAAAGAAGTTGTAATTATCCTGGTGGGAAAAAAACATCAGTATCCCAGCGAGGGACCACATAAATATCTATGTCTGGGTGAGTGTGCCAGGCAGCTCTCTGGCTTGCTTTCCAATTTTCCTGCATCTTAAAATTGCAGGCAACCTGTGCAGCTCTTCTCTCCACTGCGTGTCCGTGTCGCAGGTGACTCTTTCACCCGTCCTCTCTGCCAGCACACACAAATGAGGGAACTAATTTCCTGGCTTGGACACTCCATTATTTCCCCCATTTCTCCAAGTGATTAATTCTGAGCTGTTCCCGAGCAAATTTACATATCATTCCCTCCTCTTCCTGCTGCACGCTCCAGCCTGGAGCTAACACTGCATCCTTGGAGATTGCGGGTACCGAAGAGCATATTATCCTCCCAGAGAGCATCCTGAAATGTTTCCCAGAGCTCCTGTTTTCCTGGTCACTCCCTGCAGACTGGCATGTCAGTGTGAAGAGACTGGCAGTCTGCTGCTTGCTGTCGGCAGTCCTATGGATATGTTTAAGGGCTGCAATTCAGCTGGCAGGGAGAAAATAGACATCAGGAGGTGGAAAATTAGAGATGGGCAGGACACAAAACAGCTATTTGAGGCCTCAAAAATTCCCAGAACAGGAATTGTGAATTTTTTTTCCAGGACCGATTTCATCTGGAGGCAATAAGGTTTAGAAAAGCTGCTGATCAGGACTTGAGCTCTGGCTTTTTTTTTTTTTTTGGCAGTGTGGTAAGCTGGACTCCTCCAGTGGTAGCCCAGTGCCTGTGACTGCTGAGAGGCCAAACTCTGGACACAAGTTAGATGCATTATAGTCTTTACACGTGATTTCGAGGCCATTTAAGGAACCGTGAGGGTTTTAAGGAGTGACTGAGCTCTAGTGAAGCTATAAATTAGAGATGACTGGTTTTGGATGTGTTTTATTGGGAAATGGTTGCTCTGGGCCACATGGAAGTGAGACATTTTGCTGACGGTGGATTCTGTTTAAACCCCAGCTCAGGGATGGTCTTTGCTACAATAAATATGCATGGGGAGGTTATTTGTTTCCTTGTAGTAAGATCCAGCCCCCCACACACACCCCGTGATTTTGTTCTGCAAATATTTGACAGTGCAAGTTTCCTGGTAGCCAAGAAACACCAACATGATGCAGCAGAGTGTCAGGTAGGGACAAATTTCCATTTCAGAGTCAGGTTTAGCTAAAGGGTTAGTTTTTAGCTAAACTCAGCCTTCTGAGATGAGAGGAACCATGGGATTTATGTACCAGGTCCAGCAACTTCATCAGTAATGGCCAAGCTATTTGCATGGCATTTTTGGTGTCTCATTTTCATATTTGGACATCCCCTGTTTTTTTTTTTTTTCCATGAGCTTGCACAGAGAGGCAGGAACTCCCCAGATAAATAATTCTTCATGTTTCCAGGCCCTCCATCTCACCGCTTGTTTTCCTCCCATTTATTTCTCAACTCGTTTCAGGTGTAGGGGTTTTGGGGGTAAATCCTCCCATGTGCCTGCAGCACCCCAGTTTATTCTGATTTATTCCAGGGCTTGTGAGACATGCGTTAAAATGGCAACAGGCTCCTAGGACATCCATGAAACAATTTAATGGAGGAGCTGCCTAAGTGGAGAAAACCAATGCCCACAGCTTGGCTTTTCCCTCTGGAAAATCTGAATCGCCCCACCTGAAAAAACACGCAGGGCTCGGGCATCCAACCCCACCACCGATAAAATCAGCGGCGAGAAGATGCCTGCAGGATGCTTCCTCCCTTCCAGCAGCACCCACCTCTCTGAACGGTGAGAAAGGATGAATTAATGGATAATTATTTTTTACAAGAAGTCACCTGTTTAAACAACATCTCCGGACAGGGTGAGGGAATAGATTTGTTTTTACTAAATCAAAATAATAATAATAAAAGAAGACAAGGGATTGCCAGACAGCGCTTCTAACCATGAAGTCATTTATAAAACAGGGTGGATATATTTAAAACGTTAAAATTCGGCTTTCTTATGACAAATTCCCTGTGGCAGGTGTATTTGCTCTCAGTGATGTAAGTACCTGTGCTGCTCTGTAAAAGTGAGTTAAACCCAGGGCTATTGCACAGAAGGCTCTGTCAGTGCTTCTCTTACAAATAGCGATAATAACGCTTACCTCTCTCCCAGGGGCGTCATGGGGGTTAATTATTTAACATTTGTAAAGCACTTGCAGGGCTGGAGATGAAAGTGGAAAGTATTATTAAGAATAAACTACATTTTATAGGAGGCCTGGTCAGAAAATTGCATTCGGAGCTGAAATAAGGGTTATGAGCGGGGATCCCCGGAGGAGCATCCATCACAACCTGGGAAGCAGGGAAAATGAAGTGCTTCAAGGAAATTAATCTGTTCTGCAGTGTTTGCAGCCGGGGCTGCGCCGCAGGGTGCGGGGTAATGCCCCATACAGCCTCATCCCCGCGTCGAGGTGGGTGGTGGGGGAGTCTGATAGAAAGGAATTTAATCATTGCAATGAAAAAAAATAAAGATTTGGGGCAGGGGGGGGTGGAAAGCCTTGAGACAGCCAGTTTTTCAAGTCAGGAAGTCGCAGATGAGTTCTGGGGGAGAAAACTGCAAATTAGAGCACCCGGTGTGCCCAGGGGCGGGTTGTTTTTGGGGGTTATGTGTCCAGGATCATCTCTCCCCTCTGGCCAGGGCTTGGGGGAGGCTGGGAGCACCCAGGGCAGGCAGGGGGGAGGAGGAGGAGGAGGAGGAGGAAGCCGGTGCTGCAGGCAGGGGAGGAGCACGGCTCACCTGGGCGCAGGTGCGGCAGCGGGATCACCGGGGCAGGTAAGGGTCCGCTGGCCGGGGCTGGTGAGAGGAGGGGGCTTCGTGTCATGAAGGGGCTGGGGAGGAGGGTGGAAAGTCACCCCAAGATGTGGGACTCACCCCCCCATAGCTGGGAAGGGAACAGCCCCCACTTGCCCGCCCGGTGGGTGGATAGGGATGGGGGGCACCCCTTAAATTTGGCATCTGAACCAGCGCCTTAGAGTGGGAGGAGGGGGGCCTGGACCAGCTCCTCTTGGGAAAGCAAATTGGGGGGGACCCAAGGGAGGGGGTGGTCTCTGCCCTCCTGACCCACCCAGGTGCCCCAGCACCCCCGGGGTCCCAGGGGGACGGGGCAGAGGTTTGCTGCTGTCCCTGCCAGGCTGGGCTGTGGCGGTGGGACACCGTGGGGCAGCCCAGGAAACGGGCAAAAACCATTTTCCAGGGAGGAAGTCAAAAAATAAAACACGGTATTTGGGGCCTGAAAGCAGGTAGAGGCAAGAGTGGGGCAGCCTGGGGGCAAGCGTTCCCCCCCCACCCCGAGCCCCTTGCTGGGCTGCCTGCAAGAAGCCCTCATCATCTCCCTGCCCCACTCCCATCCGAATTAAATGCAAAAGCTCTGCCTAACAGCTAGACGGAAATCACCGCTGCGTGCACTGAACCAGAAACATTCACCACACCCTCCTCTCCCCACAGAATTGCCCCGAAAAGGCTCTTTTAGTGCCCCAAAATGTGCAGATTAGGAGAAAAAACACACCCCCGAGGACTGCCCTGCTTGAGGGATGACGTCTCCCTTAGCAGGGCGCTGCAGGGGAACGGTTTCTTCCTTCTTCCTACTGGCTCGTCATGAAAAAACTAATAACATCTGGCTTTTGCAGCGGAGGGTGCAATTGCTGAGGCACAGGGTGCTTGCAGGGGTTTGTGTGGGGCAGCCACAGCAATTTAATAAACCCAGGGGTGGCTGCAGCACTCAACAGGCTTAGGTTGGCGTGGTTAAGGTGAATAACTGGATATATCTGGGATATATTGCAATGAAAACTTTCTTTAGTAGCTTGTCTTGGGCAGTTTTCTTTGAGCGATGTCGAAAGCAGCTAGGAGTGTTTAGCCTGTGTTGAATCGAGGGGCAGTCGGGACAATTTTAGGAGAAGCAATCACCTCATCTTTGGAAAACACTGATTTTTGCAGCATTGGTGATGGTGGTAATGCTGGTTTTGTGTCGGGGTTGGTGGAGTCAGGGCTGTTCTGTCAGCAGACATCGCGGGGCTGGGGAGTCAGTTTGGTTCCCAGACCTTGGGTCGCCGAGTCCCATGGCAACCACCACCTTTAGAAGGCAATTTCATCGCTTAGGCATCGCATAGCGGCGAAGAAAAATGATTTTTAAGATGGTAACACGCATTTCCCCAAACAGATCATATTTAAAGTCAGACCTCGTTGCCTTAAAACCACAAATAAACAAATGTTTTAGAAGCAAAAGGATGACGAAGCACCCACTCCGAGCCTCTGTAATTAAGATAGCTTTGGCTAATTTGTTTTATTTCTCAGCTTTCTCTGCTGGGCTGTAACTCGGAGCTGCTTCTTGCTGCTTCCCTGACGGCGAGGCTCAGCACGGGGGTAGGGATGGGGAGTCCAAAGCAGGGATTTGTAAAACAGAAGGCAAAAAGAGGCAGCGTAGGGAAGAGAAGTAGCAGGCAGAGAGAAATATAAGCTCTCCATCACCAGCTTTTTGGTCTCTCTCTCTCCCAGTGTCTCTTTTCAGGTGGGTCCCTTGTGTCTATTCAATAGACCTCAGGGCCAGCATCCCGAATTTGAAGCTTTCATCCCAGTTTGAACTTCCACGTTGAATTTTCCCATTGCAGCAGGGCTTTAGTTTTGGCTTAGCTTCGTGTGTCTGTCTGCCGCCGCTGTACAAGCTCCTGCAGCACTTGATGGTCCTTCAGATATTCCCCGGCAATTGTGCCTAAGAGGTTCCAATGATGATGATAATTTTTAACCTGAGTTTAAAACCCCTCAGGATCTTTTAGAGGCAGAAAAGTTGCTTTCCTAGTTTTGCAGATGCATCTGGGCTCGGGAGTATTAGTAACAAGTAACATGATTGCTCAGTGTCACCGTTAATGCTCCCCGGTGCAGATGGAGGCAGAGATAGAAGAAAAACCGACGATAATGGGATGAAATGGTTCAGAGTGGGGTTTTAGTCTGACATTAATGCATTAGGGATCCAACTCCTCGGGGAGCTAATGGAAGTGCTGCTATGATTAGAAGTGCCTCTGCAGACAAATAAGACAGTGCTGGTAATGGAGTGAGGCAGTGCAGGCAGGCGGCGGGCGAGAGGGGAGCTTGTATTTGTAGGCAGTGCCTCTCCTGACACCTCTGGGGTGTCTCCTTTGCCGTCTTTCTGTCTGCCAAAGCAGTTATCTCACCTCCATGCCTTCTCCTTCAGCCACCCAGTTGGTGGGTCCTCCCCTCCCCACCTCCCAGGTGGACTGTTTGGGCTGTGGGGTTGTGTTGTAAGCAGAGATGCACACAGAGAGGACCCGCGGGGTGGGAGATGGGCTGATGGAGGAGGCTTTTTGGCCGAAGCACCTCCGCTGCTGTCAGTCTCTAGGTCTGGGCCTGATCCCTCCTTCCTGCGGTCTCAGGTTCAGCGCAAGGAGACCCCAACCACCTCTAGAAGGTTGGAAATACCTTCATTATTTCCAGATATGCACCTCAGTGGCATTCCCTAGCACGGCCTGAGCTCAGCCTTTTTTTTTTTTTTTTTTTTTTTTTTCACACTTTTCTTCCTTCACTGAGTCAGCCGTTCCCCGAGGACCGTCCCTGTCACCCACAGATGTGCTGGGAGCCAGGCAGCAGGTCTCACGGTGAGCAAACCAGCTCTGGCGTGACTGAACTGCCTGATTTGTGGAGGTCAAAGGGCAAAGTTAATTGCAGGGGTGATGCCTGTGAGCTGTCTCCAATAGCGAACTTTAGACTCTAATTTCCAAGCTGGGGAAGATGGCAGTGATGCTCTGACTGAGACATTATCGATGCACTAATAAAACCTTTAAAAAGGAAAAACAACAAAACCTCGGTAAAGCAAACGAGACCTTTGGAAAACTCAAAGGGCCCAGGGTTTGGCTGAAAAGTTATTATTTGTGGCTCCCAGGGTAGGGTGAGAGCCTAGTCAGGCTCCTCGCCATCCTCCCCACTGCTCTGGAGCCCTCCCTGGGTGGTTGGGCACATTAGCTATAACCCAAGAAGAAACCAGCTCCTTCAGGAGGTGATAAGAGTGGATGGAACAGTAAATCATTAAGCCGGCACAGCGCACGGCTTGGTAATAAACAGGGGGCAAAGTGCATTAATTACAAGCCAGTGGGGACAGGGGTGCCTTATCAAGCACACAGGTTTGATGACGGGGGGAATGGGGCAAAGTCACGCTTTGCAGGGATGCCCTGTAATGGTGGCTGCTGCTCCCGGCCCAAACATCAGCTGGACCTTCAGCTTTTTCATTTCCCCCCCCCCGTGGCTGATTGCAGGCAAAGTCTCGCTGCAGTTGGAGCTGTAGGGATAAACAAGAGCTCTTTGCTCCAGGGCGCTCAGTTGAAAACAGAATTGTTTTGGTTCCCTTTCCCCCCCTCTGCTCACCTTCTGCATGTTTTCAGAGGAGGAAGAGAAGCAGGAGAAATAGTTTTGCTGGTCACGCGTCCCGGGTAAGCCGCTCTGCTTCCAGCTAGCGAGCAAGCGGGTGTCAACGGACAGCAGCAACCCCAAAACAGTCCCATCTCACCCCAGCTCACGTGGGTGCTGTAAGGTGGACGTGCTGGCCAGCCAGGTTGTGCCTACTCCATTTAAGCGACCTTTAATTTTTCCTGCTTTAATTGATCAGTGTACCCTTTAGCTCATCCCAATCCGACTGCATCGATCTCATGGGAAACCATGAGGTCCCATTAAATATCTGCCTTTAAAATATAACTGCTGGAGCTCGTTTGTGGAGTTATATATTAGACATGTATTACTGTGGTAGTGTTATAATTATGGCATTAACAGGACATGTTATGGTAGCACTACTTCTTCTGGTATTCTGTGATTGGTTTAGTTCTGCTTTCAGTCGTGTTTCTGATACGATATCATTGCGTGTATGTGATGGAATTCTCTGCCCACCCTGAAAATACAGATTTTTCAGTCATCTCCCTGGCTCAGGTACGCTGCTCACGGGGACACAGGTAGATGCTCTGATTTCCTGGTTGTCTCTTTCAAAGGACTAAAGAGGCTATTGTAGTAACCCACTGGACTGTGCAAGCACTGCTGGTAAACGGTGTCTTGCTTTGATTTTGTGTTTAATTACCCAAGGCACCCACTGTCAATAAATCTCTCCTTTTAAGTCACGAAATAAGGCAGAGCCTGGAAGTGTTGCTAACAGCTGCCAGCTAGCCAATACAGTAGAAAATAGTATTTTCATGCACAGCTTTTCCACTCTTGGAGTAAACTGGTTTGCCCACCGTGATAGCTCATGGGCGTTTGGGGAAGGCAGGACTGGGGGACCAGCCTGGGGTGAGCTGCAGGGACGTCAGCCTGTCCTGCTGCTGCAATTACCTGCATGCACCAGGGCTGTGTTTGCTCGAGGAGGCAATGTTTGCTTACCTCGAGGTATTGGGTTTAGCCGGTTTGGATAAACCAGTTCAAATCGGGTAGGTCAGCTCCAGGGCTTTAGCAGGTCTGATCTAACCCCGGGGGATTTTCCTGCCTCTGGGAGATGGTATCTGCACACAGCCAAGCTCCAGGGGGAGAAACAAGGTGTCCCTGGGACAAACTGACCTGAAATCTGATATTAATAAAGCCAAAGCAACCGCTCTCCCCTCTCAAAGGCTGGCAGCACCAAGCCGTGTTCAACCTCACTCCCAAGTTATCCTTCACGCAGAAGTCAGGCGAGAGCAGAAAAAGAGCATTTTTTGATTTATATTTCCAGTGAGTGGGGACTGAAGCCCAAAATGCACCTGGGGAGGGTGGTTTAGGGTTAACCAGGTCGTTGGCATCTGGGATGGGGAGGCCAGGTCCAGTGTCAAACTATGCAGCCCCTTACGACGAGGATGGACGGCATCCGCGCCACGAGAGCTGGTTTCTGCCCGGGGAGGGGAGAGGACCATTACTAAATGAAGAAGGAAGTCCCGGGTGCCGGCACCACGGCCTTTGTGATCAATTAAAAAAACCTTAATTGACCAGCCTGACACGACCGACCTGCGATCGTGCCGAGGCAGGCCCCCGAACGTACGCTTGAGCCCACATGGAAGAGCTAATCATTTCTCCACCTAATTAAGCAAACCAGCAAATGGCAAACAGGGGCTGGCCGGGTTTTAATTGCTGTAATTCTCCTAGGAAACGGGTCCCCCAGCTCTCCTCCAAACCGTGCACACTGGCATGAAGGGGCACGGAGGCTCGAGCAGCTCAGCTGGGATCCCCGGGCTCTGCGCGGTGCAAATCCCAGTTTAGTGATGCTCTGAAGAGAAGCGAAGGGATGGGAGGAGGTGATGATACAGGGAGCAAGTTGGTTTCTTTGCCCAGAACAAAAATGTTTTGATTCCAGCAGCTTTTGGGGTATTTTTGAAGCTATGTTTTTCAGAAAATGCTCTGGCTTTGCAAAATAGATGTGGGGTGGGGTTTTCCCCCCCTCTATGGGCTGAAAAAATTCCAGGAATTTAAAAAATGTTTGGACATAGCACACCACTTCTGTGACTTCAAGGAGCTAAAGAAACCCCCTGATGTTTACCCTTAGATCTTCCGGGTTTCCCTGGGTGTTATTTCTCCTGCCTGGCCCCGAAAAACCCACCCTGCCCTGGTCTGCAGCAGATGCTCTCGCTCATACTGGTGGAAGGGTAGGAAAAGCAGGAGCAACTGCTGGGACGGATCCCGGGGGATGCAAGATTCAGGCTGGGAAGTGTCTGAGAGCACAGCAGATAGGAGGCCTCTGCTAAACTAGTCTGGGCTCTGGCTTTTTTGGACATTTCCTAATCTTGGGGCAAGGATCTCAGAGAGGTCCCAGATGTTCCCATCCCTGGGAGGGTTTCCCAGTGCTCCTTCCTATTCCCATGTGTCTGGTCAAGCCTTTTCCAGTCCTCCCTGAAAGGGAAATCCTGTTGGTTTGTTTTTTTTTTTTCCCAGCGTTATGTCAAATAACTGGTGTAAGTTGTATAATGACATTGTTTTTCTTTGCCTTGTAGTCAGAGGAGGTTGCCAGGATGGCGAACTTCAAGGGTCATGCGCTTCCAGGCAGTTTCTTCCTGCTCTTTGGGCTCTGGTGGTCTGTGAAATACCCGCTGCAGTATCTCAGCCAGAAAGGAAATAAGAAATCCTTCAGGATTTATTGTTTCCAGCGTGTGGATGCTATCGAAGGGGGAATCAAAATCATCTTTGCTCTAATAGGTAAGGGTTATATTTTACTAGCTATGCTGGTAACTTCCCAGCCTGTCTTGATGACTATACTAGAGCCCTTACTCCAGAAAAACCAGTCCAGACATGGAAGGATGCGTCCTTGATGCTCATCTTGTCTTGAGTTTGATGTGAAAAGACCAAGTCTCATGCCCCTTCCCAACGCTGAGCTCCCATTAATACAGGCAGGCCTGATTTTTATATCCAGTCCTTCTTCCCTAATGCAAAATCATCAGCTCATGCTTCAGAACCCCCCCCTCAGCAATGAGTAGCATCAACCATCTTTGCGTATAAACCATCAGAAACGGCATGCTCTTGCGTGTCCGTGCAGGGATGCTGGCAGAGCAGTTCGTCCCGGACGGTCCACACTTGTACCTCTACAGCGGGGAAAACCGTGACTGGGTGAAGCTGATGAACTGGCAGCACACCACCATGTACCTCTTCTACGGCCTCTCCGGGGTGGTGGACGTCTTCACCTGCATCTCCCAGGAGGTGCCGCGGGGTCTGGATCGCCTCATGCTCTCCCTGGCCGTGTTTGTTGAAGGTCAGTAGAAGGTGGGCGCTTAATTCGGGGAGGGTGAGTCGGAGAGGGACCAAAATTTGCCAAACTGAGGTATTGCTCTGAACGCCCCTGAAGACAGGAGATGTTGTAGGTGATATATTATCAAAGGGCGGTCTGTAGCAAGGTGGGAAATACAGGCATTGATAGGTCCTGGCTTCGCCTGGTTTGGGATTTCTGGGGTGACAACAATACAAAGCAGCAGGCTGAGTTTCCTCGTTATGATAAATGGCCGGTGGATGCTGCATTTATCTTACAACTACAGAGCTGTTTGCGTGCCTCACGTTCCCCTCCGAGAGCCATTAATTGCACTGCAGGCATCATCATCCTCATCTGCTTGCGTTGCACGTGGCAAATTCAAGTGACTTATTCCAGCTTCAGCACATCATGAATATCATATTGTCTTCAGGCTGTCTTGCAAGTTGCGAGCCAGGATTTCAGGCCCCTCTTGGGTCACAGAGGGAAAAGACACTAGGAAATTAAGGTCTTGCTTATATGGAAAACCCCTTAATGAAGGCACATCTCTTGTTATTTTCCCTTCCCCGACCCCAGTGCTTCTTGAAGCAGCAACAGGGGCAGATCAACAGGCACAGTTTGGCATGTAAGAAAAGGAAATCTATCATTTCCAGCTCCCAAGAAAACGGTGAAATTTAGCAATAGAAAAGCAGGACGCAGCAGGAACCTGGCTACGAGGGGGACGGTGATCTGAGGAGATGATGGCACCGACACGGGAAGAAAACAACCTTTCTCTTGTCCTCTCTTGTTGATCCCCATCTTGCTCAGATCCTCCTGCCCCAAGGTTGGGCGCCTCATCCCCTCCAGGATGGTGGGATGCCAGGAGGGCTGGTGCTCTGTGGAGTCCCTTGTTTTCGTGGTGACCTGTCTCAGTTCACCAGCCGGGCAGGTGATTCACTCTACCAGGGCTCTGTGGTCACGGTTGGTGGTGTTGACTAAGGGTGGTAATGTATTTTGGCAGGTTGCCTCTTTTATTACCACGTCCTTCACCGCCCCGTGCTGGATCAGCATATCCACTCCCTGCTGCTCATCGCCATCTTTTCAGGGGCCTGCAGCATCATGCTGGAGGTCTTCCTCCGCGACAACATTGTCCTGGAGATGTTCAGAGCCGGTGTCACCATCGTCCAGGGAACGTGGTTCTGGCAGGTCAGTTCTGCCTTCTCTCGCGGAGCAGAGCACCACGGCAGGAGGGCAGTGGGAAAAGAGGAAAAGAAGCCGTACATCACGTATCAATCGCGCGTCTCTGAAGGATCATTTTGCCAGGCCCACTTCATAAATAACTCATAACCCAGAATGAAAATTTACTTATCACAGGTCATCTCTGATGACTGCTCCTGCTGAAATAACTGTTTGTCTTGGCTTATTGCTTCTCTGGGGGGAACAGCAAAAGTGAGCACTCGCAGCGAGCGAGCAACATTTTACAGTATCTAACAACCAAGTACTAATTGCTTAATGTGTCTAATGCACCCTGCAGCACTCCCTCTGGTTTAGTGGAAAGATGCAAACCCCACCAAGCAATAAAATGGCTGAGTAAAAATACGGCCAGCTGCTTGCTTTGGTAGTAGTTGGAGAAGCAGGGAAATCAGTTGGACATAACCACTCCCAAAACTAGGCTGCCAAAAGAAAGGTGAGTTCCCCTTCTCTTTCTCAGCCCCGGGGTTGCCGCACTAACTCAAACTCAAATTCAGAGATTAAAAACTGTGCCGGAGGGCTTCGGGACATTGATTTTTTTTTTTTTTTTTTTTTTTTCCCCGAGGTAATAAAGTGCTTGTTTCACCCAGATCGGGGTTGTGCTGTTCCAGCCATGGGGAGGTCCCATGTGGGATGAGAAGGACCACAGCAACGTCATGTTCCTCACCATGTGCTTCTTCTGGCACTGGGCAGCCGCTGTGGCAGTCCTGGCAATAAACTACACCCTTGCTTACTGGTACGACCGGGGCATGAATTCGGGCAAGAGCGGGGTGGGCAGACGGGGACGGGGATGGCTGGAGTGAGATGCAGATGTCCTCCAGCCGATCCTGGAGCCCAAAGTCGCAGCTGAATAAGCAGCCCCTGACCGCTGCAAGTTTTAGAGCACGGCCACAAGCGTGCACGTCGTTTGTCGAGTGCACAGAATGCAAAATAGTGTCAGCAAGAGGCACGGGCGTTAAACGCGGAGGAGAAGCCAAATAACCGAGCCCCTGAAGCTTCTCCTGGAAGTCACACTGCTTTTTATTTTTTTTTTTTTTTTTTTTTCTCTCTGCACCAAGCGCTGGAAGTCAAACTTTAATTCAATAGAGAAATCAAAGCATTACCGGGACCCCCTGACACTTTGTCCCCTCCCTGGCAAGGATTTCGAAGCAGTTGGCAGTCACTGAGTTGTCAGAGGTACAACAGCACTGTCTGATGGCTAAAACATCGCCAGCCCCCGGCATGGCTTTTCCAAGGGGATGGGAAGGGGACATCATCCAGCTTTCAGGGGTGCTCCCACAGCCTACAAGCCTCTAAGGGGTGCTGCATGGCTTCCTGAGACATAGGCTACAGAAGGGATCATCCACTCTATGCAAGCAAATAGAATTTATACAGAATTAACAAACCCCAAACCCCCCACAACCAGCATTTTAGGACCTCTATAATAGTTTCTCCTCCCCCCCCCCGTGTATTCATTGCAAGGGCACTTTGCTCCCCTGAGCAGCACTAGTTTGGGGGTTTTGCTAACGGTGATTTATTGCTCGTGTGTTCCAGCTGCATCCAGAGGTGCAGGCGAGGCAGCGGAGAGCCCTACATCGGGCTCGGAGTCCGGCAGCAAAAGTGTGACACGAGCTCCCGAGACGCCTTCCTCAACGGATCTGACGAAGAGTGAAGGGGGGTGCAACCTCCTTCTCCAAATACACGAAGAATCTGCTTTCTGGAAGGAAAAAAAAAGATTTTAAAAATCTAATGAAATATTTACATTTTGGAAGAGCAAAGAGAGGTGCTGCTCTCCTGCTGCTGGGAAGCACGTTGGGCACATGGAGGGGGTTGCTGCCCTCCATCCGTACCCAAATGTCGCCGTCTCTGAAACGAGCACTGTTTGCAGTGATTTTTAGCAACAAAATTAAGCGCAGAAATTCAACGTGATGAGATCGCTTCGTCCTGTGGGTTCCCGTGTGTGTTACCATAGTGATGGAGGGTGTCCTTTGGGTGGCTGACTTTTCCAAGAGCCTGGAGGCTTCGACCCGCAGTGATTGAAGTCAGGGAAACCTCCAGGCTGAGGTCATGTACCTCCAGACCAAGGCATCATCCCAAGGAGGAAGAGTAAAAGAGTGTTGAATGTGAAATTATGTCCAATTTACAACACCACGGCTTGATTGCAGGCAATACAAATTTTTATTACCAAAGATCTGAACTAAAGAGGGGGCTTGTTAATAGTTTTCATGTTCACATAAGGGCTGAAAGAGTGAATAAATGTGAAATAAAAATCCTCGCTGAGCTGATATCCTTAAATTTAAGTCTTATAAATTATAGAGTGTGTAATAATAACTTAGACAAATCCATCCCTCAGACCTGTAAAGCCTGAAGGGCTGTAAGATACATGGCTGAGCAGCAGGGATTCATAAAACGTCCCAGTTTTCCTCTGAAAGTAAACCCCTCAGCTAGGAAAGTGAGATGAAACAGGCACACGTTTTGTTTTTAGCCTGCCTTTGCCAGCTGATTTCTTGCAAAAAGTGACTGGAAAATGTCACCTCCTAGACAGGAGGAAAATGTGCCAGTAGTGAGTACGAGGATTAAAAAAAAATACATATAGATATACATATATATATAAAAAATAAACACCAGCACAAGCTGAATTGCAACTGCTCCTGTCTCAAGCCCTGGGGCTGGAAGGATGCTCTGCACTGAAGTCTTCTCGCTGCTGTGTACCAGGGGGGGATGGATGGCGGCTGATTTTTGTGCTCATGTTCATGACTGAACAGAAAAGCAGGTCCTGGCAGGTCCAAGCAGCTGCGACTGCGTGCTCACACCCAGGGAAGGCAAAGCTCCTCTTTTAACGCCCTTTCCCCTTGTGCAAAGAGCTTGTTGCAGACTAAGGGGGCTAGAGCCTGGATTTTAGTGCTTATTAACAGGGCTATAAAGACCAACTAGCTTTCCTTGAATGCCAGCTTTCCTATATTTCCTCCACTGAGCCAGTTTATTTTGCAGGGCTGGATGTCGGAGGTGCAAACCGGCTCCATGTGAAGAGAATTAAGCAGCAGAGCAGTACATCTCCGTAAATCCATCTGGTAACCGCCGTGCAATTCAGTCTCATGAGTGGCAACTGCTGAACGCGACGAGCACTTTGCAGATACTTTTTTTTTTTTTTTTTTTTTCCCTGCCAAGTGAAGTGGTTTTTCTAAACCGCACGAATTCCTCTTGCTGCTACGATGAGAGACAACCCGGGGAAGAGAATTTTGCAGGCTGCCACCTCCCTAACGCACAGAGAAAACCCTATTTGCAAGGTGACAAACCGAGTTACCTAGAGTGCTGCAGGACAGACACCAGCTTAATTGAACAGCAAAAAGGCCTTGCGTGGTGCTCTGAATTATTTCTGGTCTGCTCTGAATGATTTTCTTTTAGAAAAAAAGAGGCCAAACATCACTGTTCCCACTAAATAGCCACATGAGGGCAGCACCGGGTGGCAAAGCTGGACTGCAGGACCATACTCCAGGCTGGCTGAGGTTGCAGTCACCTTGCAAGCCTCCCTCCTCCTTGCTACCCCCCAAAAGTCAGAGGTGATTTCCATCCCAGGGCACACAGATGAAAGGTGGCCTTGGTTTTTAAAAGCTTGCTTTTGAAGGTTTAAGACGGCTGATTTAATTCTTCACGGCTCTTTTTTTTGCTGCTCTTAATCAAGACGCCATCTCCTTCACCTCCAGTTTTCCTTTGTCCCTCATCACTATGTGGCCACAAAGCACTTTTCCCCTCTGTAGCACCCGGTGTCTGGAATAGTTTCTGTCTGCCTCATTAACTCCCTGCTCCTACAAACATCCCAGGACTGTCAGTATAGCACTGGCTAATTTGTTTTCCAACTCTGGAACACATTCTTTCCTGAGGTATGAAGGTCAGAGAAGGAGGAGAGATACAGCCTGTGACTAAGTAAGAAAACACAGCTGATGTTCATTTCCAGATGAGAATTAACAATTTTTGTTTTAGCTAAAAACCCCACATTTGTAAATAGCTTAAGTACCCGAACAAGGGCATGAAGGTTGCTGGGTGCACGGTGAGTGGTCTGGAGATGGTTTATTATATAGCAAGGTGCAATCACAAGCCATCCTCACATTGATTTCTTATGTGATAGATACACCAGGACAGTCCTAAAGGGAGTAGTGCTTTTAACACAAGCTTAATATCAGCCAGTAGGCCTAGGTCATGTTTTTCACCATATAAATTGAGTTATCAGCTAATGTCTCTGTACTGGACGCATTGGCCATGACGCTGGAGTGGACAGGGGGTATATTTGTAGTCACGTCCACAGCTGGCTTTAAAAGGACTGTAATGCCCTGGGCAGTGTCTCGGGGGTGTTTTTTGTCTTGTGTAACTGCAGCCTGATGTTGTTGGACCGTGTCCCTCAAGGGTGGGGGCTGCCGGTATTCCTGAAATAACCGACCTGCTCATCCGAGGCAGGAAGGATCCTCCTGACAGTAATATCTGACCTCCTCTTACGAAGGAACCCAGACAACACCCCTTCAAAGCAGCCAAATATCTTGGCAGCTGGCTTTTCCTCCAGCTAGAAAGTCAAACCCTTCATCAAGAGCCCCAGCACAGCCCGTCCACGAGCCACGCATTTCTCGGGCAGAGATGGGATCTGCCCCTGCTACCCTCCACGGCCACGTTTATGTAAGGCTGAAATGATGGTGTAGGCAGCAGAACAAGCCCTGCCTATGCTTATACCACCTGCTTCACCTCTTCTGTTGCCTGTTTATGAAAGCTAGTGTTAGCATTCGTCATAATAACAATAATAATAATAATACTTTGCACTTCCCGAACAACCATCCATCTGCAGCGCTTGAGCTGCTGGCAAACCTTTAATTAGATTGTGCCTCCCACCACCCCCAGGAAGTAGGCAAATATTATCACATTTTTTCATTAGCACCGAGGCTGATGATGAACCTTCAGGGAGAGGATGTTGCAGTTACAGCTGAGGAAAAAAAGAAAAAAAAAAAAAACAAGAACAAAAATTAATAATAAAATTCATTTCAGAGTTTAGCTTGAGAACATTAGAGGGGCTGGAGCAGGTTGGACACAGATCTGCCTTCCCCCTTCTCTCTCTGGGAGGAAGAGGAGGGCAGGAGTGTGCTGGCACAATCCCATAATACTCCTCCATGCCTCAGCGCTTTGCAGCTAAGGAACTGCAATGGAATTGCATCCATTGGTGTGCGAGGGACCCGCTCTGGGAGTCGGGGAGGGGGGTTGCCCATCCTTTCTCCGGGTCCCCCCCCCCACGGGGCTGTGCTGTTCCTAACCCCTGGGCACAGCTTCATGCTCGTTTTTGTCACGGGGATGGTTTAAAAGGCTGAAAACACCCTTCCTCAACCATTTCGTGCACCTGTAACTTTTTACATTGGCTGGCTGGCTGGCTGGCTGGTACTATAACATGAGTTGCCCTTTCCACAGAAACCTTTCTCTATGGGCTTTACTCTTTGTTGACCCTTTAAACTCCATGGAAAAAGGCCCCTTCAGCCTCGGAGCAGATGAGTTTCAGCTGGGTCCCATTTCCTCCCCTCTCCCTCCAGCTGCTGCCCCCCCAGCCCCCATTTTCCCACTTTCTCCAAGGACTTGACTCATCCTTCTTAGGAAGCAGCTTCACGCTCAGCTGCCCTTTGGGGTAACGGTTTGTCGAGCTGGGTGGCTGCAGAAAAGAAAACTGAGCTGCAGAGGGGTCCCTGACAGTCCTGCTGCTCTTTTTCCAGCAAAAAAGGTAAGTTTTCCCTGCTGTATTATTTTTAGGGGTAGGTCTGTAAGGAAGAGCTTCTGTGGGGGGTTGCGTTTCAATCTGGGCTTGGTGGTAGCAAGCTCCTGAAGCTTGGGTGAAGCTGCCTGTGTTAGTGGAAGCTGCTGTGGGCTTCCCTGATGTTACAGGACCCTTTTCCACGCGTGCTCAGCCCTCTGCGACGCGCCTTGCTCCCCGTCGGAGGCGAGCAGCGGTGGGGTATCCGGCACGGCCTCGTGCCAGCACCACCACCAGCTTCTTGTTTTCCTTCCTTCCTCCTCCTTGCGACCGCTGATACGGAGATAATGGGTCTAAAAGAACTCCTGGCTGTGGCTTGGTGGCTTTGATGGCTGTGCTGGAGGACAGCCCATCACCCTGGGGAGGGTTGTGCAGGCTGGTTTGCTTCCGTGCTGTTCCCTGCTTCCCTGGGGCGCTGGCTCTCGCGTGTGCAGCTCTTGGCAGGGCTGGGCATGGCTTATCCTGTGGCTTCCCTTGTTTTTTTTTTTTTTTTTTGGTCACACGAGTCGCTACGTGCGTGTGGTCGCAACCCGGAGAAATACCAGGTTGGGAATGCACTGGGTGGTTGTTCATGCCCGTGGTTGGAGGCTCAGGCAACGCTCCTGAACGGCGCTGGGTGTCTCTGCGCCGTCCACTCGGTGTTTCGGAGGGAGACGGGGATGTTGGCGTGGCCCATGGTATTTACTTGCCTTGAGGCACTTGCATTGCTCTTCTACGCAGCCGGCGAGGTGCTAAGGCTGGGTGTGCAGCCATCTGCCATGGGATGGGCAGCGTCGAGTTTTGGATGGGTAAAAAGCAGTGGGAACGGGCTGCTGTGTCCTGCAAACCCGTCTTTCGGGGGACAGAGGGCCATCGTCCCCCTCCTCTTGGCTGCTGTGGGCTGGGAGATGGAGCTTACGAGGGCTCTGCTCTGGTTTGTGAATTCTTGGCCCAAATTCTCCTGCCTCCAGGTGTGTTTTATAAGGCCAGACTCCCCCTAAAAGGGTTTTCGTGTACCTAGTAGCCCATTTCAGAGACTTCAGAGCCCTTACAGCAGAGCCTGGCCACGTTGGGTGATGCTGCAGCCTTGTCTTTTCTTGGCTTCTTCCCCAGCCATCTGAAAAAAACCAACATAATAACTAAATATACGTGGTTGCCATGGGAACGGGAATTGGCTGCTCATCCTGATTTTTGTGGCAAACTCCAGGAGACTCTTTTTCTTTTTTTTTTTTTTTTTTTTTTTTTTTTTTAATAGCAGACACGAGATGTCCCAGGTTGTGAAAGCTGGTTGACTCAGCACGCTTTGAACTGGCCCGCAGGATGTTCGGCTCTAAACATCCTGTCTAAGGGCCACCTCCCCATTGTGGCTTCGCTCTTTATCTGCCTCTTCTGAGTAATAACCCCTCCTTGCTGCCACATCTGGAGAGGGAGAAGGACAGGCAGGAGTTGCAGGTAAAATCTTCTACCCGTAAAGAGAAATACATTGGTGAGCAGTTGTGCCATGGGATGGTCAAGCTTGGGAAGAAGGGATGTGGGGAGAGTCCATCCCTGCAAGGCAAAGGTTTGGTGTGATGATGGCCACCGATGAAGCTGGTGGAAGTGGTCCTGATGGGCACAGACTCCTAGTAATTGTGGGCAGTGGCCAGGTTTCTGTGTCTTTAGCTCTTTTTGGAGGGCTGGTCGGGTTTTGGAGGTGCATCCTATTTGCAGAAGGATAGGGGGCTTGTGCCTCTTCCCTTGGGGCGAGGGCTATTGGCACAAGGATGGAGGAGGATCCACAAAGAGAACACCCTCCCAACATCCATGGCCAGGCACTGAGCTTGCCCTCCATGTACGGGCTGGCTGTCCCAGGGTGCTGCCATGGGTGCTTGTAGGGGACACCCGTGCGTCGGCAGGGACAGCATCCACCCCCCTGCGTCAGCTGCAGCGAATCCCCACATGGGGCCAAAATCATTGATGGTGACAGACCCGCAGCTGCAATGGCTCCGGGGAGGGGGGGGGGCGGGGGGAAGAGCCTGGAAATTGGGCAGAAAGGCCGTCCTTCCCGAGCGAGCAGTCGGTGCGAGGCACCGTAAGGAGAGCAGGCAGCTCCCGTATGGCTATTAAGCAAAAGCGTCGCAGCCTGGAAGCTGCGCAGGGAGAAGGGCAGCTCAGGTAATAATTTCTGACTGCAGCCGTATTTCAAGTCCTCTGACAGACAAACTAGCTCGCAGGAAAAATAAATAACCCGGGTGCCTCTCCTCAACCAGTGCTCTTTTCCCCGGCTGCATCTCACTCGGAGCTTAATCAGCTTTTATGTGAGCGTGGACTCACGTGCTGGGGCTGGGGGAAGCTGGCGGGTAAGAGGTGTCAGGTTTGGGCCGTGGGCTGGTCGAGGGGCTGTGTGGATGTGGGGTGGGTTGTTTTTCTGCGTCTCGAATGCGCGAGCTGTGCAAGTGGACCGTTGCTTGGAAACATGCCTGGTTTCGCTGCAAAATAGCGGCTGTTTTATAAAAGAAGGTGGGGTGGGTTTTTGCATGGGCTACGTCCAAGCTTCTGCTTGACCAGAGGGTGGGTTTGGGACACCTTTGTTAAATAAGAGATGCCCCAGAATATGTGGCCTCTGGGTGGTGGGAAGCAAAAGGGACTCGTGCCAACTACCAAAAGCCTTGCTGAAGCGGGCTGCTGAGAGGTTACAAAGCAAAAGGGTCCTTGGCACTGTGAAGAAGAGCAAATCAGGGTGAGGGATGGTTGGGGTAGGAGATCCCAGGGGACAGCTCTGAAACAGAGTGGTGGTTTGGGGTCTGCTGATAACTAGGGTGAAGGAGGGGATGCCCGGTGGATGTGGGGTGATAAATCCTGGGTTAAAGCTGGGAGCTGGTGTGGCTTGGAGCAGCCTCTGCTGCTGCAGGTGGGACGTGTCTGTTGTCATCTCTGATGTCTGGACACTGGGATGTCTCTGCTCTCCTCCAATTAAGCATGTCAAATTAATGTTCCTGCTACGTATCTTAATCAGGGTACGCTCCCGACTCCAGCTTCAGGCTGTTGCCCTCACAGTCACAGTCCCTGTAGAACAATGATAAAATTTGGTTACATATCGTGCAATTGTGCGCCGCTTAAATGCGCTTTAATAGCATTTGTTCTTAGTCACTTCAGCATGTGGATGTCTGCGCAGGGCAGATATGTGCCCTGGATTGTGTGTCCAGGCTGTAATCAGGAAAGACATGGGGCATGAGCCTTCTCACCCTAACTTAGGCATCCAAAATAGAGCAGAAAGCCGTCACCCATCCCCGAGCCAGTTCCTGGGATGGGGCGTTTCTCACCTGCCTGAAAGGCTGTTTAGTAACTTCCCTCCTGAAAGGAAACTTGAACAAGGTGTAAACAGCTTTGAGCCTTCCCCAGATCACCTGTGTCCCGGAGATGCAATGGATGATGATAGTCTTTACATCCAAACAGGGTGCTTGCCCACGCAGGGCTGAGCCAGTTTGACTGACTCCAGCTCTGCAGCCAAAACCCGACCAGGGCCGGCTTGCAGAGCTCTCCCTCACCTAAGGCGCTTGCCACGCCACATCCTACCCTTATTTTGCAGTGCCTAATTACTTTCTAGTGTGGGAGGACTCGGAGAACGTGCTGGAGTTGTTCATCCAGCCTCTGCAATTTGCGTTGGTATTTATAAACACAGCGAGAATGTGATTTGTGATGCAAGGGCAAGTTGGTGTGGCAGCTTCAGGATGAGTAATGCCTTTTTCCGTGCACATCTGAGCTGTAGAAAAGGACCAGAAAGCCCGTGAGGAGGGAAAGAGTGAGACCTCCTTAGGTGTTAGATGCATACAGGGAGCAAGGAGAGAGGTCTTGCTGGAGAAAACAAGACCATCCCAAGGTAACATCAAAAGCTCACTGCTATAAGCGTTTAGATGATTACTTATTCCCTTCTGTGCTTGCTGCTCTGGGATTTTTTTTTTTTTCAACACTTTGTGTATGGGTTTAAATACTTGGCAGGATGTAAGTGCCCATGGTGGCCATTCGTGCTGCTGCACCTCTGCTCCTCTCCATCCTTGCTGGTACTCGGTGGTGTTGGCCCAGCTTAGCTCGAAGGCAATTTTCCTGCCTCTAGTCCTCCAGCTCTTCCTACCGGAGATGAAATCTCTTTTCCCTTGCGTGAAATCACTGCTCGTGTACGACAGGAAGGTGGTGTGGAATATGCATGAGGCTCCTTTTGGAAACGGTGACGGTTCCTGGGTTGCCGCCTCCTGTTGTTGTGCAGCCGGTGGGGCCCAGCAAAGCCTTGTCTGGCTGGAGCTGCTGAACACGCCGGCTGGATTCACGCCCTGCTAATTATCTAGTTTGGAGGGAGTTTATGTTCCGAGGAAATAATTGTCGTGTTGCTTTTTATTAGCAAAAACTTCGTTATGGTTCCTCTTCTAATAGCACGTAGCTGTTACGCTTTTTTGGGCGCTAATGTATTTTTCTCTGGCACGGTGAAGTCCTGATGATTGTACGCATGCAACCACGTACATCTATATGTGTGCACCTATATACAGTGGTGCACGGTGGCCGCTTCTCCGAGGTGGTGTCGCATCTCTGGTGCTGCCTGTTTGCAGCTGATGGAGGAGCCGCGCGCTCCCGCCCCGTCGGGATGTGAATCTCTGGGGATGCTGAGCAAGCGAGCAGCCCCATGCCTCTCCTGGGGATAATTTAGCTCGGTCCCCAGGCACTGTTTGTCCTCGCAGGTCCAGTAAGCGAGCCTGATGCCAACGAGTTTCATCGGCAGTGCCCTCCGGGGCACCTTCTTCTTCATTTTTGGTCTCTGGTGGTCTGTCCGATACCCCCTGAAGTATCTCCAGAGGAAAACCAGTGCTGAGAGCCAGCTGAGCTATGGGGTCCAGCGCGCGGAATTCTTCGAAGGGGCTGTCAAAGTTTTCTTTGCTTTAGCAGGTAAGAGGCGATGACGAGTCTCTGCCCCAGTATCTACTGGTGCTGCAGCTGCTCTCTCCTGTGCGACCGGAGTGGGAAACGGCAGCGGCTGGTGTGGGAGGGCTTGGGGACATGCTCGTGGCAAGCTCTGTGATGGGACCTCGCTACCATTCCTCTGGGCAAACACCTCTGCGACTTCACCGTTGCAAAAAAAAAAAAAAAGAAAAAAAAGGTTTCCTGCAAGCTTGTCCTTTCCCCCGTGTAAAAGGAAAAATGTGACCTTTCTGCTCTCTGCCCAGGGATACTGGTGGAGCAGTTTGTTCCTGCTGGTCCCCACCTGCAGCTGTACAGCCCCACGACGCACAGCTGGACAGACCTCACCCACTGGCACTACACCACGATCTACCTCTTCTTCCTCCTCTCGGGCATCGTGGACATCGTCTCGCACTCCCCGCTCAAGCTGCCGCTTGGCTTAGATCGGCTCTCGCTCTCCGTGGCTCTGCTCATCGAAGGTGAGCCACACGCCGTGGTTTAACCCACCCACGGGCGGGCTAGGGGAAGCGTTGGGAGCGTCACCGATGTGCAGCAGTCCCAAAATCCCCCGGGCTGTTTTGAGCCTGGCGAGGAGCTGTGCAAGCAGCCAGAGCTGGGGGGCGTGGAGGTGAACGATGGCGCTGGCTGCGTTCCGAAGTCACCCCCCTCCCTGTTCCTTTCCAAATATGAATCTGGATGTCCCGGGTGTGCGGGGGGTGACGAGGTGCTTCTCCTGGTGACAAACAGCCGTCACAAAAAGGTGGTGTCCCCCCCACCTTGGTTGGATGCACAGAGGGGCAAACCCTGACACAAAGTCCCCCGCTATCTTCCGAGCTCCCCATCGGGGTGCTCCTCCCGAGAGCCCTGGCCGGGGCGCGGGGGTCCCCACAGTGCTGGGGGCTCCTCTGTGGGCAGAGCAGACCCCAGCACTGGGGACTGCAGAGCGAAGCTGGTGACAGCAGGTTGGTTGCTGTCTGGCTCTTCCCACCAGGCAGATCATTGCAAGACCTGGAGCATAAATCTGTTTTCAAAACAAAACCAAATCCCAGAGCATCCTCTTCTAATGCAGTGTGAATCTTGGCAGGTTTGCTCTTCTGTTTCCATGACTACAGCGATGCTGAGCTGGACCACCACCTCCATTCCCTGCTGGCCATGGCTATCTTTGCTGGAGCCCTCTCTGCCCTCCTCGAGGTGTTCCTCCGAGACCACATCATCCTGGAGACCTTCAGGACCAGCTCCTTCCTTCTCCAGGGCTCTTGGCTTTGGCAGGTCAGTGCGTACCCATCGCTCTCCGCCGAGCAGTGGGCTTCACACCCAGGAAGGCAAACAGGAAGGGGCTGCTCTGCCCTTCACGGCACATCTGTTGGGGTTAAACTTGTAGGCTGGTTGGAATCTCTTTGTAAATAAGAGGAGGAAGCGAGGCTTAGTGCCAGAGTTGTCATCGCGGTGCTAGGCACGGGTCATGTGTGCAGCACGGACAAACCTGCATGCTAAATGGAGATTAGGCCCCAGAAGGCTGGGAAACCAGAGTCATGAGTTTTTATTCTTCTTACGAGGTCCCATTTCTTCCTCTGTTTGTTCCAAGTAACTGGAAATATTTGGAAACCTCTCACATAACCACCCAGTTCTGGGTCAAGGGAGAAATGCACAGCCTGGCAATGTAGCCTTGGGATGGTTGTTTTTCTCTGGGGATGCTGGGCTGCACTGCAAGCCCTAAGGCTTGTCCGCAGAGCATCCCTCTCTTCCTGACATGCACCCCTGGGTCAGTCTGGGGAGACAAGGGTGCTGAGGGTAGTGGTCCAGGTGTTACTTGGGATTATTGTGCCTCTAATCCATAGTCAGCTGCAGCAGCTTGGCTAAAAGGAGGAGGAGAAGCGAGGAGGGACGTGCCTGGCATGGGCTGATGCCTCACATCTCTTCTGTCTGCCACCAGATTGGGTTTGTGCTGTCCCCTCCGTGGGGAGGACTGGGCTGGGATCAGACCGACCGCGGCAACTTCACGTTCCTCACCATGTGCTTCTGCTGGCACTACGCAGGTGCTCTTGCTGTCCTGGCAGCAAATTCCGCTGCCTCTCGCTGGTAAGTGGGGGGAGAAGGGTCTCAGGGGGGGTCCCAGCACCGTGCCTGAGCTGGGATGGCCAACAGCAACAGCTAGACCCAATGCTACCCTGGGAAACCCAGCCACCGGTGTAGATGAGAAAAGTGGATGTCTGTGCACGTCCAAGCTAGTCCATGGCTCGGCTGGGAAATTGCCCACCTGATCGCTGTCCCCCCCCTGCAGCTGCAACGAGTCCTGCCAGCTGAAATTTGGGGACATCGACGTGGAGCTGGACTGCGGCGTGTGCATCCGCAAAGGCAACAGGAGCTCCAGCGGCGCCCTGCTCCCGGAGAGCGGCTCGGATGACAAATGAGGCCGTGGCAGGCATGGAGACTTCTCCCCCGACGGCTTTACAGCTCTTGAGATGAGGTTTGGAATTAGTCTCGACAAACTACAGCGGCACTGGGTGGCGGAGCATCAGAAGTGGGAGGCAGGACCCCAAAAGTGGAGCACGGCGGGTGATGCAAAGCCTTTCCCATGAGTTCCTCTGGTGATAGCAAGAGCAAACCAGGCTCATCTGGGAGGGAATTTTTAATTTTTCAGGCTGCAAACTGCAGGGCTGGTTTGCTGATGGAATCCAACTGGTGTGGCCAGTTTGGCTATCTTTTTAACATTGTTTTTGCTTCTGCAGAAGGAAGCCAAACCAGTGTTCAAAGCTCCTGGTGGCTGTTGCTCACTCTGGTGTTAATGGAGGGGGTTTCGTACGAAGCTGAATGTACACAGAGTATACGTGATCACCAATAAAGTACTTTAACAAACTACCCGGATGGATCTCTTGAATACGATGCCTTGAGATCGAAGGCATGGTTAAGGCGATGCCTGGCTTCAAAATGGTTTGGGGGGTGGATGAAATATCAGCAGGATGGGACTGCGTGTGACTTAATGTGGCCAAATCTGCCTGGAGAAGGGGGGCGAGTGGCCAGTGGATGGAAAGGATGGAGGTCGCCCCGTTGGCACCAGCATGTAGCTGCTCTCATCCTCTCAGCTTCCAATTAAAAACAAGGAGTTAGATAGGTGAGGGAGGCGGTCTGCAATGGGTTTGGGGGCATCTGGAAGGCGGGGTGTCTGCTGGGCTTAGAGAGGGACCCCTGAAGCAAGTTGGTGTCTTCAGCTGGGTGTATGGCTACCGGTGGTGAGTCTCCGAGAGCCGGGCTCTGCAGCCATCTCAGTGCAAGCATGGCTTTTCTTTGACAGCTTTATTTTCTCCGTGGAGCTGGCCACTTCCAAACAAAACCTTTCCATTCTGGATGTCCGCTTTGCACTTAGTGTCTAGGGGTATGTGTTTTTTTTTTTTTTCCCCTTAAGTCAATCATTCGGTTTGCAGCAGAACAGCATGGGGAGATCAAAGATCAAAACCAAACTTAAAAGACATCGTTAAGCAGGATTATAGAAAGAACTGGAAGTTCATCATCAACATTTAAAATGCTTGGGTCATGTCCTGCTCCAAGGGCTGGGCTAAGTGAACAGGGGAGCACAAACAGCACTGTTATTATCTTTTAATACCTTCGCTGTACTCCCTTAAGATGTGCAAGAGGCTTAGTCTAAACACATCACAGCCAGTCCGCACAACTCCCAAAGTTCAAGCAAGTATTGGAAAGAAAGAAAAATCCTTCCTGACTCAAAGCGGTTGCAATTCCCAGCCCCAAGGGATGTCTCTGGAAAAGTGAGCACTGCGTATTTTATTTTAGCTTTCTCCTTTTGGAGCAGAGCTGGGAGGAGACCGATGCTTCGTGCTGCTGGTGGCTGTCAAGAAAAGGACCTTGAGGAGCAAAGAAACCAAGGCAAGTGCAGCATTTTGGGCTCCTACCTTTGGTACCCCCACACAGAGGATTATTATTTGGGGTTGTAAAGCAGGCTGGCATTCACAAGCAATATTTTCTCTAGGGACTGGTGGGGTGGGTTGCCTTTAACTAGTGCTGATGTGGATCTTCCTCACCAGAGTGAGAGCTTCAAATGTGTTCCATGGAGGTAATGTGCTCTAGTTATTAATAATCCTCATGGGACTAGAAGCAGGGTCATTCAGTCAACTTATTATAGACTAGCTGCCATTAATGGGAAGCTTAGTGCATGGGTTATAACCCTATGTACTGCACTTTGAAAAGAAAGGGGGGGAAAAAAAATCTGCTTTGATCAACTAATGTTACTTTTTGCCTGTTTTTTCTTGCCCCGGTGTTATCTGGGTAATGCTGAATCCCTCTTTTAGAATTTTTCTACTTAAAATGTAGGTCTGCAGTGGGGGTGTTTTCTTCTTTCCTTGAATGAAATACAAATAAGAGTGAATACTTACTGATCATCTTGGCTGTGTGTTTTAACAAGCTTAGCAGGGTCGTGCTCTGAGCCTCAAGCTAACACGCGAGGGTTTCTTTGAACAGGACACACAAAATTACCTGTCATCCAGTTGGGTGATAGAGGTGCCCTGTGTTTGAGATAGGACTAATGTTTGTTGGGTCAATAGAGTAGAAAGAATGAGATGTTGTGGCTGTAATTGCATTTGTAGAGCAGTTCCCAGCTAGCCTGTGCGTGGAATTGATATCTTCTACAGCAAGCCTTTAACCCAAAGCGCTCGCTCTCCCGCTGAAGCTGGAAGGCAATAAAACTCATTGACTAGGCAACGTGTGAGTGTTTATTGATCGGGAGAGCCTGCGCTGTCCACCCAAAACCACTGCTGTCCCCACTGGTGGTGTGGACAGGCCGGGGTGACCCCGAAATAGGGTGGGAGTACAGACTACATCCTGCTCCGCCACGATCCCTGCCTCTGCGAGGTGGGTCACGACGTGTGCCTGGACGGGTTAATTACCTCATTATTATACACAGACCCAACTGATGCTGTTCCCCTGCTGATGCAGTCTTATTTTGTGAGAGAATATTTGATTCCTTGTGAGGCTCCTGTAGTTGGTCTCTGCTGTTGGTCCCCTGGGAGACAGCAGCGGTGTGGATGTGCCGCTCCAGCGCTGATTTTCTTTTTTCATGGGCTGTGATCTGCTCCTGGAAATACCTTGGCCCAGACAGTGATGCCCCATCTCTTCACCAATCCGCACATCAGCAAGTTGTTCATGTTTAACTGAGTGATACTGCACGAGCCAGGAGCTAAGGTAACACTCACCTGCATTTTATCTTTGTTTCCTGTCTCCAGAAACATGAAGACTGGTGTTTTTAGCGGCAAATATTCTTTGCTGCACTATTAGACTTGGGGAATTGATTGAGCTACCCAGAGCACGCTCATGATGACGTGTTCAGAAGGAATAGGGAGCCTTGTCCTTCCAGATTTGAGTCGGTAAGTGGTGAAGGGCTGCAAGAAGGCCACGGAAAGGGGGGGGGGATGAAAGTTTGTTTTTTTTTTTCCCCTTTCCACAAATCCTCTGCTGTTGGCAAAGGCCAGGGGACAGGCTTTCAGCCTGGAGGAGCTGGCCATGAAAGCCTTGGGCAGAGCGGCTGGTGAACGCCAGGTTGGTGTAAGGTGACCTCTCGCTGCAGCTGGAGGGAGGAGAAGCTCCTGGAGCCCATATGGAAGGCGCTGCTGGGAGAGCTGAAGTGCTTTGCAGACTCCCGGTACCTGGCATCTGTGTGCAAAACTTTTTATTGTTATTACCGAGAGGCTTGCTGGAGATTCATGGTTTAAAGAGGAGTTGAAATTAGCATTTCAAGCGCCACTAAAATCTACTGTTTCAGTTTAATCAGCGAATGTAGTTTCCAAACTTAATGCAATTGCCATTCAGAGGACAATTGGATTTTCTAGGTCATTTTTCTTTTCCAGAACTTATAATTTTTTATTTTTTTTTTTTAATTTCAGTGTATTTCTTGCCTATTAACTCAAGTGATTTAAATAACAACAGTAAGCAGTACACGCTTACTCTATAAGTATGCATAACTCGAATCTCCCCCAAAACTCATGGGGAGGCTGCGTATGATAACAGCAACCTGCAATTAACAGTTGAGCAGTTTTAGTAATGCAGAAGCTGGGTCCTGCCCGCTTCTGCGTGGCATTGCTAGAAGAGAAAGGCTCGCCCACTTGCTGCCTGCCCTTTGGGGATGGGCAGGGGGTTGCTCGTGGACCTCAATTGCTGACAGCTATCCTGGAGGGGCCAGGAGAGAGCAGCTGGTAAGACTTGTGGCAAGCAGAACAGCAATATTTGGCCATTTTCACCCCTGTTTGAAACAGCACCCGCATCAAGGTTTTCGTTGCAGCTTCCTCAAGAGGTGAAAGAGGATCCTGAGAGGGACAGAGCAAGATTGAAAGCCTGAAGCCCGATGGGTGCATCTACCCTGCCCTCCCCGCTGGCTCCCGGGAATGATGCGAACGAGGCGTTGGAGCCGCTGGCTTTATCGCCTGTGGAGTAAGAGGTATTTTTAAAAGAAGCAATTTGAGGTTGAGGTTTGGTGAGTCTGTACAGATGAAGCCTCTGGGTGGGGGGGGGAAGCCTGATATTTGTCGTAGGATAAGCAAAGCATCAAGATGTGGCAGATCTGCTTTATTAAGTGTATTAGGGCTGTTCAGAGCAAGTGCAAATCCTTCTCTCCGTTAGCAAAAGGCTTACTTGGCTGCAGGAAGGAGAGGGTGCAACTTTTCAAAGCATACAGATAAGTCAAGGAGGGAAAAACCTTCCAGTTTTGGCTGGGGTATCTTTTTCTGGTAAGACAGACTGCTGGGGCGCTGTGTTTGCTACTAGACGCTGGTGAAACTTGGTAGAAGGGCCCCGTGCCGATGTTGGTGCTGATTTAAGATAATGTACAATTTTCCCCTTGATATATCATCTGTGGAGTCTAACCTGTCTCACACTGCTCACATCACTTGTGTCTTGCCTGACACATGGACGGGTATATGAATTTCTGGTAGGTGTTTGGGGTTTTTTTTCCAGCACTGCTTTGGAAATAAATAGGAGTGATTGTATTTCAGGGGGAAAGAAATAAAAAAAAAAAAAAAGGCAAAAACCACCAGCTGTGCCAATGCGTTTCACAAAATGAATTACCCTGTTCCTAGGGCATCCTTCGGTATCAAACAGCAGCATGGTAGATTTACGGTTATTCAGGAAACAAGCAGGATGTAATGTGCTTGTTACTGCAGGTAAGAGCAGCTGCTTTTGAAAACACGGAACCATGTTGGCAGCTTTAGGTGAGATGAAAACTCTGGGTATAGTGGAAGTATTATAAAACATTCTGAACCCCTCAAAACAATTACAATCTATCTATTATACTTAAGCTTAGTAATAACTACTTGCTTGACAGGCCATGGCGAGGTTCATGCGTTGTGTCTACCTGCTAAGAATGGTGTTGGGCTAGCGAGTCGTGCTGGATGCTCAGCGTGTGCTGGTTCCACGGGGAACGTTGAAGTTCAACAAGAGTATCCCCCTCCTCACGGGAAGCACGGTTGTCACTGGCCCAGTACAGAGCTGTTGGGTCACCCAAGAGCTTCCCACGTCAACGTCTTGCTGAGAGAAGGCCATCTTCCTTGGTGGCTTCAGGTCAGTCCACGTCCTTGTCCCTCCTTGGTGGAGCTCTGCTGCACGGGGCTGGGTGGAGGAGGAACCCCAGCGAGACGGAGCCCCACCAGCTTTCCCAGCTCCTGCTCGGCAGTCGGCGCGTTGACGCTGTAAAGATCGAGGCAATGAAACACAGTCGGCGGCCGGGGAACAGATGCGTGCACCAACAGAGCGCTGGTAAGTGCTTTCAACGTTCCCACCCAGCAAAGTGCAGGCCAATGAGTTTTTTGTAATGACCTGTCCTACTGTTTTCCTTAAAGAAGTCTGAGAACAGCTCGTGCAAC